ATGATACTAGTTCCCTCGTTAAGGAGGAACCCAGTATTCCTACAAGGAAGTCAGTACAATGGTCCTCCACAACATCCTCACCACCCAATGAATCGTGCTAAAAATATTATTATCTAGAATATTAGAGGAGGAAATAATGTAGAATTTAGAAGAAATTTTCACGAATTAATTGCCACTCACCATCCTTGTATGGTCACCTTACTTGAAACAAGGATGACAAATCACGGTAGTCTCATGAATGGATATGGTTTTTCGGATATGATAGAAGTCCCAGGAGAGGGACAATCAGTTGGTATGGCTGTGATATGGGATACTTACATGGTGAATGTCAACTATTTCGTCAAAAGAAACAATGAAATTCATGCACTACTTGAGGTAATCCCTTCTCAACAATCTTGGATATTTTCATCTATTTATGCAAGTACAAAGATTTCAAATAGAAACAACATGTGGGAAAATATTACAAATATTTTTGATAATTATAAAAATGCTTGGCTATTGGGAGGGGATTTCAATGATGTTCTAGTAGCAGATGATAAACTAGGGGTAACCTTATAAATATAAGAAGGGCTGCCAAATTATGGAATATGATTAATTACTGTAAACTAATGGACCTAGGCTTTAAAAGTTGTAAATATACCTGGTCAAATTACAATAAAATAAGCAATAACCGTATTATGGAAAGATTAGATAAAGTACTAGCTAATGAAGCATGGGTAAGGATGTTCCCCAAAGCATCCGTAATTCACCTGCCAAAAACCCATTCGGACAACAATCCTATTCTTCTAGAATTAATTCCTAAACAGGCAAACACCCTTACAAAACCTTTCAGACTAGAATCTTATTGGTGTGGCCACCGTGAATTTGGTAGCATTGTTAAAGAGTGTTGGCTTGACTCCAACTTTGTTGTAGCCTCTACAATTTTTAAGAATCGTATTATTGATTGGAAAAATATAACATTTGGAGACCTTTTTAGAAAAAAGAAAAAAATTCTGGCTAGGTCAAAGGGTATACAAAATTCTAGCTCCTATGGCCTGAGCACCTTCCTTAATAATCTAGAAATTACCCTCAAGTCTGATTATAACAATATCCTAAAAATGGAAGAAGACTTTTAGAAATTACGCTCTAGAATAAACTGGCTCAATGAAGGGGATTTGAACTCAAAAATTTTCCACATTTGTGCCACAAATAATAGAAGAATTAATAAGATTGTATTTCTCAAAGATATTGAAGGTATCTGAATAGATGAACCACAAAAAATCATGGATCACACCCTCAACTATTTTGAGCAAATTTTTACTACTGACCACATCTATTCCAATTGGTCCGCTATTAAGACTGACCCACGTAGTTACAAAATTTTTAACTTATGTTCCTTAGATAATCCATTATCTGAGTCAGAACTCAAAAAAGCAATCTTCAATTTTAAACTGTTAAACCAGATGGTCTCCACCCGTTCTTCTTTAAAAAATATTGGCAACACCTAAAAACCTCTGTCACACATCTTTTCCACCAAGCCTTTGAATCAGGCAAACTCCCAGAGGGGATAAATGGAACTTACCTCTGTCTTATCCCAAAAATTCTCAATGCAAATAATTTAAAAATTTTCTGACCTATTGGGATATGTAACACAATTTACAAAATTAAAAACCATAGCCAATAGACTAAAACCCTTTTTAGACAATATAATTTGCCCTTACCAAGCTAGTTTTATCAAAGGTAGACTAGTGATAACGCTATTATTATTCAGGAACTAATGCTTAAAATGCACAAACAAAAAGGAACAAATGCAAATTTGGTTCTGAAAATAGACCTAGAAAAGGCTTTTGACCGATTAGAATGGTCTTTTATATACAAAACTCTTCGTCATTTTAATTTTTCTCCAAAAATCTCTTCCTTAATTATGTCTTATATCACAACCAGCGAGATATCAATCTTAGTCAATGGTAGCAAGAGTAATTTCTTCTATACTAGTAGAGGTATTAGGCAGGGAGACCCCTTATCTCCCTATATTTTTACCTTTTGCATGGAAATGCTTTCCATTCAGATCAACCACCAAGTTGATATTGGTATTTGGTCTCCCATCAAGATGGGAAAGAATCAATGTCAATTATCCCATCTATTCTATGCAGATGATCTGACTCTAATGTGCAAGATTGACAAAAAGTCCCCCAAAACAATTCTCAATTGCCTAAATTCTTTTTGTAAATTGTCAGGCCCAAAAATTAATTTCTCAAACTCTCAAATTATTGTCTCCAAGAACTCCTCCACTCATACTTCGAAGTCTTTGTCAAAACTATTCAATATAAAAATTAGTAATAGTTTTGAAAAATACCTTGGTTTTCCAATTACAAACAACAAGCCTAGACCTTCCGATTACTAGTTTATCCTTGATAATATGGCAAATAAATTGGCCTCCTGGAAATCGAATTTTCTTAATATGGCAGGGAGAGCAACTCTTGCCCCTACTTCCCAAAACAATATTCCTAACCACGTCATGCAGTATAACTACCTTCCCACTAGAATTACCAAACACATTAACAAAATACAGAAAAATTTCATCTGGGGAGCCACTATGAACTCAAAAAAAGTTCACCTAGTCTCTTGGGATACTCTGACAAAGGATAAAAACAAAGGGGGGCTTGGCATCCACTCAGCAAAAGAAAAAAACCTAGTAACCCTGGCTAACCTCTCCTGGAGACTCATACATAACTCTAAGGTTCCTTGGTCAAAAACTCTTACCTCACTTTATGGCTCCTCCACTAATTTAAAAAATACTTCTTTTATTTGGAAAAGTGTAGTAAAAGGGTGGGAAGTTTGAAATAAAAGTTTAAAATGGATCCCACGCACAAATTCTTCTATGAACATCTGGAAAACAGACTGGATCCCTAAAGTTTCTTTGCTAAGAAATCAATTAGAGGGACCTCTCACAATACCTATCAACAACCTTACCATCAAAGACATTTGGACTAATAATAAATGGAATTTATCAAAAATTTCCTTTGACCTTCCTCAACACATTAAGAATGACATCTTCTCAATCCATCCTCTTCATAATGCTTATGACTCTTGTTACTGGGAATTAACGGGAAATGGAATTTTCTCATCAAAAAGTTGCTACAAACTAATTCAACCAAATGAAAACAACTCTGAGGATTTTAAGTGGATTTGGGATGCTCACTGCACAAATAAGATATATTTTTTACAGTGGAAATGCCTTCACAATAGGCTGCCCACACGCTCATACCTTAACCATATTGGCTTGAATATTGATCCTTTATGTCCTGTGTGTAAAAGGGAAACTGAAACCATTGAACACATTTTTACAGCTTGTAAAGCAGTTATGCATTATTGGGCAACATTGGGTTTAAGTTTCTATACCAGTCATAATGGCACACACTGGCTCCATAAAATTAAAAACCTAAATTCTTTCACCCCCCCTCCTTACCTTAAATGGGAGGATCTTTACCCTTTAATGGCTATTACTAAATAGTAGGACATTAATTAAATGAATATTCCCAAATAATATGGAATTAATTAAATGACTATTCCTAAATATTAGAAAACTAATCAAATGACTATTTTGTCCAGTGTGAACTCTATTTTTAAAGGGTTACGAATAATATTTCACTAAGGGTCTTCGTGCTTTTAATACAGTATAGATATGGATTATTTTCTTATTTGTAGGGAAAAAAGTCATATATGTCCCTCTACAGCAGAAAATGAGCTGTATCTACCCCTCGTTTTAGTTTCTTAGTATAATTATCCCTACCGTCATACTTTTAGATCGTATTTTCAATCCACTGTTAAATGACTTGGTCCCATCTTTAAAAAGGCACGTAACTGACCTTGATTGGATAAAAAAGGCCCCGCCCATTTCTAATAAAAACCCACCCGACCCGCACTAATAACCGACCCATTCCGAAAAGAAAAGAAAAAAAAAAGAAAAAAGAATTGAACCCATTTCACCCTATCTCCTTCCCCTCTTTCCCTCAAAGCATAAACACCGGTTTATAAAATGTAAAACATAAACGGGAGCTTAGCACTCCAGTTTCAATAAATGGACCTTGTTGTTGATTCCAAATTTTGCTATGAATTCTTATCAATCCAATATTAATCCCTTTTGAACAGATTTTGTGAGTCTTTGAACTAAGTCTTGAAGAAACTAAACAATTAGTGTAGTATGAATAGGTTTTATATTATTATTATGCTAATCATTCTTGATAAATCTTCTGATGATTTCTTTGTGAAAATTAGGTCTCTAGAAAATGAGGATATGAAAATGTCGTGATAGCTTTATCTTAGCTTAAGTATGAAGTGAAAAACTAACCTAAACATCTTCTAATCAGCCAAAATCCTACTTCTACGCTATAATAAGTCCAAACTCCTTCAAAGATAATCTCGTTGTGGTCGCAAGGACATATTGATACTGGTAGGCGGTAGCACTAGAGGAGTCAAATAGATATGATAGCTTCATATAGTGTTCTATGTAGATGTAAATAACATAGTAAACGAAACTCATTATTGTCACCCTTTTTCGGATCAGGCATATACTTGTGATCTAAAAGGATTTTTTCAATTAAAGTAAGTTTTTGAATAGGGATTCTTTTATTTAATTAGGAGTCGCCACTTGTAATTGAGTTTTGGTATTCCAAGTCACTCTTTATTGAATCCCTAGTCAAATAAAAAGTTTGACTCCTTATTTATGGTCCGTAAAAACAAATGATTGGGTAACGAATTTTGTTGACCGCAAGGAAGGTGTGAGGCACCCTCAAATCTTATGGTCCTAGCACGATTGCTTTATAACTATATTTAACTTGAAATTAATTTTATATACTTCTGTGCTTTGTTGGATTTGTGTTTTGCCTCTTATTATTTAACTAGATGGCCCGAGCCCATGCTGTGCATGGGCATAAGCCCAACATTATTGTACCTCGGCATTGTTGTACCAAAAAGGTTCATACTTATTTCAATTGTTTAGCATAATAATCATGTGCATATAAAGAAAACATATAATCATGCTGATTAGATATTTACATAATATCTCCATACAATGTACATTCATTTCAGTAATTATGTCATACACAATATGAAATATGCAAGGGCAACCGTACAAAAGAAATTGCACTTCTTGTAAAAGTCAGTCACTCAATAGAACTTCATTGCTATAAGCCTTCTTTTTGCAATAGTATTTGATGAAAGTATCAAATTCAGCCGCATGTCCAATTCCGAATTTTTAGATTCTCTGGGAACAAAGAAGAGGAAAAAGATGTTAAACCTAGGTAGAGCAGGTGACCATACTTTTAGTATTTTGCTAAAAGTTGAATATACAATTTTAATAGAACTTTATCCCAGATGCAGAAAAATATGAGTTGAATTGCAAAAAAGCATGTTAAAATTGCAGGTAAATACACCCAAAAAAGAGCAAAACCCGTAAAGCAAGTGCAGAACACATGAATGAAAACGCATGGAGTGCAAAAAAAGTGCAAAATGCAGGAAAATCTACCAAAAAAATTAGAAGAATATGGTGCAGAAACCGAAAAGTAAGTGCATATTGCACAAATATGGAGCAGAAACTGACAATAATGTGAAAAACAGAACAAAATAACGCAGGAAACCCCTCCCCACAAAAAAAATCAACAATTGAAACTTTGTTGGGAAGGTAAACTTGTAGGAATCAATACTAACAGAGTATGAGAAGAACTGTTCTCTGGAATGAGGGTCAGTGGACATTTTGTATCAGTGGAAACTTGTCCCGCTTCTCTTTTCGCAACTGGTATTAGCTATGAAGTTGAGATCCTTCCCCTTCTCTCCTCCCCACTTGCTTGAGCCAACAGTGATTACTTGGAATTCGCCCATGAAGTAAAATACCAGTTATGGATATGTTTTCTGAGAAATACTTAAGCCATCCCTATACGAACACGTCTGTCCAAGAACCTCATTTCCTTTTAGTAAGAGCTCATTTCTACAGTATTATCTCTTGGTAAAGTTGTCTACTCTTATCTACAGATATTGAAAGAGGAAGAGGAAATATTATTGATTAAAAATTAGTCGTTTCATCTTGACTGGCTTGAAATTCTTAGATCAAAAGCTCAACGTCCGAGGAGATATCTGCAAAGGGTTTCTGTATTTTGTATACTGCATGTTTGAGAGTTTGCTCTTTTTGTGGAAATAAAATATGTGATCTTATAGAAGTCCATGATTATATTCAAATATCAGTTGAACTACACTATCAGAGTTATAATGTATGAAGCTTAATGCCTCCGTGAAGGAAACTATGAAAAACTTTAGAATTATCATCACAGAGCCTAATAATATTTGGACCCTGTCTCATCCAACATTAAGAACCTTTTAGATTGAACACAGCATCTCTGGTAACCAACTCTGACAAACTTCATGGTGCAATTACATTATGTGTGACTTAATAATTTAATGCTTTGACTAAAAGTCCCCTATCTCTCTTTTTAGTTGCTTCAATTCTATAGAGTCTTTATCTCTCCTATATGTAGATTGTGAGATTTATAATACTCTAACCCTTTTAACCAAATAAGAGAGTTAAACAGTTTGAAGGGGGACACAATACAATACCTCATGGTTTCCATTTAAATGAACACATCAGGTGTTTTGCTGTCCTTGCTAAGCATCTCAAGAAGTGTATCGATCGCTTGCCACAAAGATTTATGTCAAGAGCTTCTTTTAGCACCTTCAAGCCACTTCTTTTCTGCTAATGGTGGGGTTAGCTGCAAAAATAAAATAAATTCAACACGACTTCACTAAACTATATAGCTAACAATTGCTTGTTACTTTCTATAACAGTGTGAAAATTTAACATGGCTTAAAATAGTATTCACTAAATTGTTTAAATGTCTAGATTATGCAGTAGCTTTAAAGTGAACTCCACACAATGACCTCACAAGAGATGGCACATATATCAACCAACGAACAGATTCAAGAGGATAAGCAATCTTTCAAGTTTATTCCAGAATAATCAGGATTCGGGATAAGAGATGACGTATAGGTTCTGAAGCTAAACTATGAAGTTTAGCATCAAGGTTACATATTGCTTATTAAGTGACATCGTGGCTGACACCTTCTCAAGCTCAGATATCTATTCTGCAATTATAGGTTGCACAAAACAATTGTGAGCTATGATTGATGTAGAAATGGACTCTTAGAAAATAAGAAAGATATTGAAGACAGAGATCTTTGCTTCTAGAAAATTAATTAGAAAATCTTTGCTTCCAGATAAAATAGATATGACTATAGCTAATGAAATGTGTAGCTATTTGCAGCCTGATAAACACCTTCATTACTATCTTGTTTCTTATTTTAATAGTGAAAACTCTTAAATAGATGCAAGTTCCATTTGTTCCAATTTCCGGCCATCGATGACAGTTTCACGAACCCAAGAACCAACAGAATCTCAGTTATTTTCACAATAACCATCCTAAGTTTAAAAAGATGTCTGCATAACCTCATTGTCAATGAAAAGAAACAGAGATATTTATTTTAACGATTTTCTGGCACGAATTAGATTTCACACACTGATGCAAGCGCTTTGACAACAAGCATTCGCGCTTTGGCATCTCTATAATTTCACATACTATAAAGCATAATTGTCCATCAAAGAAGAAATGTGTACTTCGTTTCTTATCAGTATCCAGTCAAAATAGAAGAGGCACCTCTTAAAACCTCAATTTCAAGCTTCAGAATGATATGTAAACTATCATTTAGCTAGAAACTTAAGCCTTTACTCCCCATAGCCACAAGGTAAGCAGGAGTAATGGACTTTACTGCTCACTATTCAATTTATTAACATTGAGTAAGTGCCAATATCAACAGGTTAATATGGTTTTATCTCACCTTTTGCATTCCCATACGACGCTATATTCCCATTGATTGCGCTAAAGAAAAAGGTCAAATGAGATGTTTTATTATTAAGAGATTATTATAAAGATAATTCAACTTCTGCATCAATTACATTAAAGTAACTACTCACGTTGATGTCACATTAACTTTCGTTACTCAATTATATTTTTTTCCTTTTTCTTTGTTCTATATTAATTGCCTTAAGTAGTAATGTACCCTTTCGTATTCTAAGTGACACAACCACATTCAAGTTAATTTGATCTAACAATGAATATTTCTTCACAAACATCCAAATTAAATTAATAGAACCTTCGAAGAAAGGAAAATGGATATAAAACTGAGTATTGCTCCCCCAACATCATTTTGTCGGCAGATCCTACAATAAGTTTAAGGAAGAAATAACTAAATTAATCTAATAATACACCTTAACCAATCAAAATGAGTGGCAAAAAAGTCTAACCTCATAACTGTGACATTTAGCAAAGTTACCTAAGTAAATTTCAGGAATTCTTCAGACGCATGATCCTTGAACTTTTTTTCATCTTGGTGAATCGCTTCAAACTCAGTCAAAAAGCTACTAAAAGCTAGTGAGCTTTCCAGCTCTCTTTCCATAAACTTCAATCCTGTAAAGCCAAAAACCAGTCTAAATAACATCATATACATATTCTTTTTCAAACACAATCTACTGATCTAAATCCACGCCAACAATATTGTAGAAAATACTAACTAAATCTTTCTTAGGAAACAAGAACACAACGTAGGGGTATACCTTGAAAGAAGCAACAATGTCTCATTTTGGTAAAAGAAGATTGATTATTCCCCAGATTTCCGGTTAACAATAAGGCCCTTATCATTGAATCACACTCTTGTACCTCGCATTGTTGAGCTATTTTACCACCAATGTTGAAAATAAGCAAGATAAGGGCAACCAAAATTATTGATAGAACATAAATGCGTGCATTACTGACCTTTGAGGATTTCGTTCATATAGCCTTTATTTTAATTGAGTTCCTTTCAGTGCCAGTTTTTACTACCAAATTGACACAAAATATTCAGAAGTAGACATGCATAAGCAGAAAATAATATAGTCAGGAATGAAATATCTATAGATAGTGAAAAATTAAGAAATAATATTGTGCATATCTTAAATACAACATAATTTTCTTACCTTCTGAGTTATGGTAAATACTGCATTCAAAATCTCACTATTTGAAAGGTTATACAACACATTGATAGTTGACCCGGCATTTTTTTCCAATCTGTTTGTCACCAGCATCAACATCATTGCTAGGGCTCAAAAAAATTCAATCGTCCCTGAATCTAGAAGTCCAGCGATTTAGTTTTATCATTCTATAATATTTTACTGCATAGAGAAGTCTTTTAAATAGAATTTATTTTACATTATTACAGGTCCACCATACTTGGCCAAGAAAAAGATTAATTGGTAGACAAAAAAAGAATCATCAATGACAGCTTATTAACCATCTCAACTTTAATACCATGGTCAATTACCAAACACAACAAATCCAACTGAAATAACAAGAAAATGCAAAACGCTACTATTGCTTCTAGCCTTCTATAAGTATTTCTACATTTGTATAACTTTTATGAAAAATGTTCCCCAATTCAGAGGAATGTAAAACTTTGTATAGTTGAAGGTAGTCCTAATTTGCTCAATAATACAAAAGAGAAACAGAAGAAATTCTTACCAAATAATTTTGTGTTGTTTCAGGCATATCGCCGAACACTTTGGATTCATCAGTTTGCACAGTTTGAAATCTCATCGTCTTGAGTCAAAATTGAAAAATAATCGAAACAATAAATAAAATAAGAGTAAAAAATAAAAAACAATTCAGATGGAAAGTATTATTAACTATAAGATATATTAGATTTACTGAAAAAAGAAACACAATGAAAGTATGTTTTACAATAAAACCGATATTATCACCATTAAATCTTTGGTATTGTAGCACAGACCCACTTACTTCCTAACAAAAAGACATAAATACAATAGATTTTTTGCACTGACATTTCGATTTACAGTTAGTAATTAGTTCAAAAAGACGAACAGATATCAACGATGAGTAAGCCAAAATAATATAAGCTTATATGCACCAGGTACAATCTCAAACATGCATGTGCACATCAGATAGAGTAGACTTACTGACATGCATATAGAAAATCAAGCTAGAAATTATGCGGAAGAGTAAGAAAACTAAAATTGAAGCAAAAATAGATAAACTTTTAAAGGAATTCCGAAGTGAACGGCAGAAATCACTGCAAGAAAGGCAAAAAACAGGGGAAAACTTACCAGAAGTAACGAATAAAATAAAAGCTAGAAAATTAGAAACCGAAAATGGATAATTTGGGAAATGATACCCAGAAGCGATGAGCAATTATCAGATAGAGGAAAAAGAAATATAGAGGAGTTGAAGAAAGATATGAAAATGTTCCTTGTAACCTAAAACATACAGAAATATGAAATTTGCAGGTGCTAATCAGTATAAATTAACTTCCGACATTCAACTGAAAGAACTCACACATGCAAGACATAAAATGTAGAAAGCATAAAGAAATCAAGAGAAAAAATAGGAAAAAAAAAAAAAGAAAGACCAAGAGGAATCCAGCATAAATAGAAACAAAGACATGAGGAAATTTTTTAGGAAATCACTTTAATTGTTATTACTAACAATCCCAATAACAAAGAAAAAACGTAAAATTGCTCTCTGTCGCTGTAAATTAACACATGCATGATTGGAAAAACATAGGAAAGACAAATAATATTTATCTCCCTGCCTTTTTCTAGTGAGAAACTTGAAAAGCTACAAATGAAATCCAAAAAGGAGTACCAAAAGTTAAAAAAAATAAAAAAATAGAAAGGCAAACAGAAGAAAATTAAACGGAAAGGAAAAGAATCTAGCAAAAATTTACCCACAAATTAGACAAAATGGAGAACGTTGAAACCCAGATAGAGACTCACGAAATGAAATAAACCATCAAAGAAATGCACTGCTAGAATATAGAAGAGAAATAGATGAATGAGAGAGAAAAACCATTGAAATTAAAGTGGGTAGAAGACCGTACCTTTTTCAGTGAAGAAGATAAAGTGGCTGGATAGTAGACAATGGAAAGTGTAAAAGAAAGGAAATAAATGGTAAAGTAAAAGTTGAGCACGTGGAGAACAAAAGGACACATGTGGTCCACTTTCAATGGGTCTTGTATTAACATAATAATGGGTCCAGTCCAGGTTCTAGAAATATTCATGTATCAAATTACCAAAACACCCTTGGTCGTCCAAGGAACCTTTGCTTATTACATAGTTATTATGTCATGACCACACCACGTAAACGAATCCGTGATCAACACTTGATTTATTAATTTATCATAATCGTGCTATACAAGAAAATCCGCAATCGATAAATAATTGTTTATGCCTTAAACTTTTGAGATATTATCACATTTTACGGTTGATGTGAATTTAACTCTGGAATTCTATTAATAAATGTTAGAACTACGCTACGCAATCGAATGTGTAGTTACGACAAAGGTTTAATAAAATTAATGTAACGGCCCGACCGGTTGTTTTGAGCTCTAGCACGTTGTTTGGCGGTTTGCGGCCATGAGTAGCTTCACTTCGGGTATTATGACTTGTACGCGTGGTCGGAATAGAATTTCGGGAAGTTCGAGTTGATTTGGAAAGAACATCCTCATTTCAAAAGCTTCAAGTTGGACGAATTGACTAAGATTGGATTTTTGAGTAAACGACCTCGGAATCGGAAGCTAAAGCTCCCAGCAGGTTCGTATGATGATTTCAGAACTTGGGCGTATGTTCAGATCGGGTTTTGGATAACCCCGGGAGCGTTTCGGCACCTATTGTGGAAGTTAGCATTTTGAAAGAGTTTCATGAATTTGGGGTAGAGGTGTATTTTATGTTATCGATGTCTGTTTAAGATTCCGAGTCTGAGAATAGCTCTGTATGGTGATTCTGGTATTGGGTGTGCGTCCGGAAGTGGATTTGGAGGTTCGTAGGTCATTTTGGGGTCATTTGGCTAAAGTTAGAAATTTGAAGGTTTTTGAGAAGTTTGACCGGAAGTGGACTTTTTGATATAGGGGTTGTTACATCCCATATTTTCGTACATGAAAGTACTCCACAAGTAAATTGATGAAAGCTCGGAAATGAGATGTTACGTCTCGCATTTTCGTACGTTAATGTTCCGTCATAAGTTAATCGACGTAAGTTCGGGAATGAGATTTTCTTCAGATTATAAGCATTATGCTATTTCAAACACGTGATGAGTAAATTCGTAAAGGTAAAAAGGTAAGCAAATAGAAAAAAATGAGTTCGTCAAAGTTTGGAAATTCGGGATAAAATACGGTCCAAGGTATAATACCCCGTATTTATGGACTATTGCCATACAAGGTACCATATGACCATGATAGTATGATGTGTATTAAAAATAAGTAGCATTTTAAGTAATTTGAGATAATTCTTGATTACGTGAGTAATTGGTTAATTATTGATTTAATGAAAAATTAACCATGTAATTAAGGATTTGTGGATAATTGTAGGAGGAGACAAAGCCCTCTCCCCCCGTGGCAGCAAGTAGAGGAGGATTAAATATGACTTGACTTTGGACAATTAGTTAAGATGACACATGGATAATCTTCTAAGACAGTCCTTGCGAACACATAGAAGAGAATGCATAATACTTATCCCTATATTTGTCTTGAATTAATACCAAATTCATTTGATAAGTAAGTTATACAAAATGCAAAGCCAAGAACTCTTATCTTGAATGAATACAAAGAATCCATTTCGTAAGTGGGTTATACAAATGCAAAGCCAAGAACTCTTATCTTGAATGAATATATAAATTCATTTGGCAAATGAGTTATACAAAATACAAAGCCAAGGACGATAGTTACTCCATAATATAATAGCAATGGGATTTTTCGATTCTAAGGAAGTACGGTGTAATCCTTCCCAAGAATATCACACGAATTTTTCCCTACTCCAGGTATGTTAAAGCTATCCCTTTTTTGGCATGATCCATATGATACAAACGAAACGAGCAAAGGCACAACTTCCATAAATGAATTCCAAAGAAGCCTATGTTCTTGATTCCCCATGTATCCTATTATTCTATCATTTGTTCATGGGTCTCAGAAAATACATTAGTTGATAAAGTTTATTTCATGATATTAATCAGAGGTATAATGGTCTTATGACGTGCCGAGAGATTTTAATGACGTACTTCTCATGCATTGCAATCATTTATACATGTACATTGACCCATGACCAGATGGCGTTATATACGCATATTTATATGTATATATATGTATATGGGATATGAGAAAAGGTTACGGCATTATATACGCACCACCACCTGATCAGCTGGTATACGATGATGATTTTGCCCACAGTGGCCGAGATGTTATGAACACATGTACCTATGCACGACATGACATTCATACACATATGCATGACACTATAAGTATTTCATGATTTACAGAGTTATCCAGACTTACAGGTTAAGTCATTTAATCCATGTTTCTTCTATGTCTTTTATATACTTATTTATGTGCCTTACATACTCGGTACATTAATCGTACTGACGTCCCTTTTGCTTGGGGATGCTGCGTTTCATGACTGGCGGTCCCGATAGACAGGTCGAGAGTCCTCCAAGTAGGCTATCAGCTCAGCGGAAGATGTTGGTGCGCTCCATTTGCTCCGGAGTTGCTTGTTTGGTCAGTATGATTTAGATATGTATTGTTTGGAATGACGGGGCCCTGTTTCGACCTTTATGATAAGTATGTACTCTTAGAGGTAGACAGATGTCATGTATACAGATACTTGTATGGCCTTGTTGGCCTATATTTTAAATATATAATGGATCACATTGACCTTATAGGCCCGTATGTCACAGGTATGAGTTTCTACATCAGGTGGGTCGTTCTATGTTGGGTATTCCCTCATGTTTACTCTAGTTATTTCATGACGCCCCTTCTGGACCACTTAGCTATGATGATGTAATAAGAAAGATACATTACTTTGGTACTCGGTTGAGTAAGGCACCGGGTGCCCGTCACGGACCATCGGTTTGGGTCGTGACAAGGGTCTTCCGATTTTGGAAATTGGAGTATGCCCGTAATATCGAATGTACTTGTGTACAGAATTTGAGGTCAATCGGCCGTG